TATCCATATCCGTAACTTTAAATTGCTAAATAGCATTCTGTCAATAACAGTAACTATACATACACAGTGCCCAGCGCTGTTCTAAGTGCTTGACATATAACATTTAATCTCCATAACAACCTATGAGATAGGTAGAATTCTATCCCCATTTTACAGGTGCAAAACTAAGGCACAGAAGAACTTGCCCAAAGTCACACAGCTAGTAAGTGAAAGAGCTAAGAGATAATCCAGGCAATTTGACTCCAGTCATGTGCTTGATGACAATGCTTTCCATTTATCATATGCTTGAATATTTACATTGTTTAGAAGTTTCCAGTATTATAAATCATGTTGTTTTGACCACCTTTGTGTGCAAAGCCTTTTACAATTATTTTTTTAGCATATATTCTCAGAAGTCGAATTGCTCAAAGAGCAATTAAACATTCTTAATCCCTAAAATAGCTACCCTATTATTAGTAAACACTGACTCTTTGAAATCTGAAGTTATATACAGTTATTAGGAAACTTTTTCTAGAGAATAGAAAGAGATTGATCTGTTGCTTCTTTTAAGATCATGAAACACTCAATTCTGACTTTTAAATTTATTAGCACAACTGAATTTGACCTACTTTGGCTCACTCATTATTGTTTCAAGATCCTCTTCTACCCACCATCTGGACCTGAAGGAAAGATTAAATAGAACTATATTTGCCATGGTTGTATATCAACTGTGAGCACAAATATTTTATTTCTCGTACCTTACACTTAACTTTGACATCACAGGTTTGGATAATGAATAGCCAATAATAAGCAACCTATGCTCTTTTGTTCTTTTTTGTGTTATTTCCATACAGCCTTCAGAAGATCCTCGTGCTATCATGTGGAACCTGTAAATTATGCGTACCAACACTTTATCTTTTCAAGAACTTCACCTCTTACTCTAGAAGTAGTTACATGATCTATTCTCAGTCAAAACAAAACAAAACAAAACAAATAAAACAAAATAAAACAAAACAAAAAAACCTAATAGGACCTGTACTTCAGGAAGGGGAAAGTCTCAGAAGCCACTCTTCTTCCTTTTTTCTTTCTTCATACACTGGACTGTCTGTTGGCAGTCAGCTGTATTGCCGGTCCTTTCTATGCTCTCTTCTAATTCTAAAAGGTTGGAAGCCTGGGAACTATATTTCCTAGAATAGAAAGCCAGCAAATGTCCCAGTTTAGATTCTGCCAGTGGCAAACAATTATGAGAGACGAGGAAGGCAGAAAGGTAACAAAAGCCATACATATTCTTCCTGTAGCAACAGACAAGATTTTACAGTGGCCTATAGGTATTCCTCCACAAATCACCTGCTTCAGGAGGCAGTTTCCAGAAGTGCCCGAGCTGATTTGTGTGGCAAATAATTCCCTGAAAGTTAGCTGCAAATATGAGAGCTAACTCTGAATTTCCCTTACCGTTTTTTCCCCTAGCCTTTCTGACTATTTTATATACACTTAATTGCCTATTTTTAAACATCTTCCTGCTTCAAGTGCCCAGCATGATTTCTGTTTTTCTAACTGAAGTTTGACTGATATGTTCCATCTCCTAATTTACATAAACCTGTGGTCAGGCATTCACTGAACTAAGAAAAACATAATTCTAATTTAGATTATTGGTAGCAGAGCCCAACCCATAAATTGTAAGCTGATTTTAATTCCAAAAGTAGTCCCTTTGTGGGACTTCCTTTTCTTCCCCTAGGTTTTGGAGAATTCTACATACTAAAGACCAGATCTGGAGGGAGGTGAGGAATGCGACACCAATATCATCAATGTACCAAGGTGATACCTTAATGATTACAACCATACATGTTTATTCTTAATATTTTTAGCTCCTTTTCACTTTATTTCCCTTGGATTGTTTGTATGTTTATGATTTTGCTAAATTTTTAAGGGGCGGAAAATTTTTGTTTCCTAGCACTTAAGAAATGTTCAAAGATGTTGATTAAATTATATGTAAAAAGAAAAGAAAAGAAAAGAAAAAAGTGTGTGGTTTTCTATTTGCCCTGAAGGAGTAAATAGCAGCTTATGCATTTCGCATTTAAGTTCAAGTTAGCAAACATAAGCAGATCATCAAGGCTCTTAGGTTCTCCATTTTAATTAGCAGTTCCATTTCATTCCAGAAATTCCTCCCTCCCATCCCCCATCCCGTGTTGATGATGGATTTACAATTTCACATTTCACACCTGCTTTAATCTCAGAGATTTTAGATGGCCTCCCTAAGTGATCCTTATGCACTTAAGCTTGAGAACCATTGCAATCAATGAAAACAGAGCTCTTTTTCTTTGAAATACCTATGCAAGGAGTGAAATTCAAAGAATTTAAAGACTTAAGAATTCTTTCTAGTATTCACACCTGGGAGGTGACTTATAGCATCACAGAATTTGGGAGCCAGAAAGGTCCTTATAGATCATTTGATGATGAGACCCTCATTAATAAAGTCAGCAATCATATCTAGAGTTACACAGGCAGTTTAGGGCAGAACAAAAGTCAAAACGTAGGTATTCTGAATTTCAATCTAGTGCTTTCTTTAAGATGATTGTCATGTACTACTGTGTGTGTGTGGTGAACTGAGTAACTACGTATGCCAGTCATACTGAGAGGACTTGCATATGTATTAGTAGTTTTCTAAAAGGCAGCAGTAAAGTTCTAACAAAATCAGTATAATACATGATTTTCCAATAGATGCAAGTAAAGTGTCTTGAGGAAGGGATACCATTTTCTATGCACAAAGATGTAATGTGGATCTGTGACAGGCAGTCCCCCCACCTTTTTCTTCAATATAATCTTATGATTAATAAAGAATGTGCAGGTGCTAATCTCAATAACAAGTGCAATACAGATGCTGTTTATGAAAAATTTAACTTATGCAAACTTGAAGTTGCTGATATAGAACAAATTTATGAAGTTTTGCTGCATAAAATTGCAACTCTCTAAAAGAACTGCAAATTCCAAAACCGACTGACCCATTGAATTGCAAACCACATTCACAGATTGCCATACAGAGGTGCCGAAATATATGGTGTGACATGACCCACAGGCTTATTGATGTGCATTGGAACCTCCGTGTGTGACTGTGGTGACCGTTGTGTAATTGTCTGCATTATAAGCCTTTAGTTCAGAAGTTATATATGATAAATCACTCTGAACTGCAACCACTTCCATTAACAGTTCACCATCTGCTAATTTAGGAGACAGCACACTCTAAAAAGAACTGGAGATGATGCTGTAAAAATAAAATATAGCCCCTACCCTACCCTCCCCCCAAAAAATCCCCACAGCAACAGCATTGCCCATTCTAACATTATTTCTTTGTGAAAACTAGTCTTAAATTGCAAGTATTTTAAATTATATGCTGTGTTCAGGAGAGGAACCCTCACACAAAATGCAGCTTCCATTTAAAAAATTTTCAGGCCTTTAAGTGATTCTAACCCCAACTCCTACACCTGAAAGACAATGTGTAAAACTGGAAGGAGCCCTGAGGATTTGCCATTTAGTATTACATTTAGTGGTCCACCAAGGGGATATAATTCTCTGGAAAACATCCCAGAAGTTAGAATTGTTTTTGTGTGTTTTAAGTGAGAGGCATCATTGTGTAGAATAACGCTTTGGTTATTTTTACATCAGGCGCTAACAGGGCTTAGTTTTGTTGTTAAGTCACCTTCACGGGTGTCTTCACGGGGCTTACTTTCATTATGCTTACTCAATCAATTAAAAAAGAGGGGCACGCATTCTTATTGCCCCTTCCCTGAAAGATAAAAGGATTAATGAGCTAATAAATACAAAATACTTTTAACCTCATGAGAAAATTAGCCTACAAACACGGGGCAGGTCATGCCCTGTAGTCCATGTGGTGGCGGGTACCAGCTGATAAACAGAACTGCAACCTCTGCCCCCACTCCCACCCATCGAACCTCCACTGCCCCACCCGAGGCTGACAGCTGACTTCACCGAGTCCTTGGCCTTGGGCCATCAAATACAGTATATGCACATGCCCCGGGTGCTGGCGAAGCAGGGGAACTGAAATTTCTAAATTTTGATTTTTAGTATTCATAGAAAGTATCCAAGAGCTGACTGAGAGGGAATTTAGAGTTCTGATGGAGGTTTACATTTATTCTATGCTTTATTGTTCTTATTACACAAATATAGGCAGGGTGCCACCATTATTTCAGTGCTTGGGGCTTCTAAAGGTCATATTATGAGCCCAAGTCTACTACCTACTTTTAACTGAACTTCACCAAGAAATATTAACAATTTATTTCCAAAAAAAATCTTTCTTCTCAAGCAGGCAGTCTTCACGAAGAACTAAATTCTCCTACCAATACACTTATCAGAACACCTTGGATGGTGCCACAAATCTAAGAAAATTAAATCTCCTTTAGCTAGGGAGATTTGGCCCATGCTTTGAGTCAAGGACTGGTCTAAAAGGTCTAGACTGAAATTTTAGAACTATCATCTCAGCGACTTGCAGATAAGTTTAGGGTCTTAGAATTTGATGACAAACATTCTTCATTTTTTTCCAACTGAGAGGGAGGTTTGGCATGTTCTTGGTGAACCCTGTGACCCACTGCCACTTGTCATTTCCAAATATACATGACTTCTCTACTCCTCTTGCACCATCACTGAGATATGTGTGTGCATAAAAACAAAAGCTATATATTTCCATCATGGGTTTTCACATTTGGATCCCCTCCAGACACCATTCTGAATATGACACTCTGCTGCAGGGTACTAAAAATGGTGCTTTCCTCAAAATAAAACCTTTAAAGATCCCTTAGTAGCTATTCGGGGACTGGAATTCAATTTCAATTCTCCACCCTTTGGCCAGCTGTAGATTCAAAATGCTTATATAAAACAGAGAGAGTATGTACTTCATGGCAAATGTGATTTTTCTTTTGCAATAAAAATGTGTGCTATAGTAACCACAAACTATATTTTTTTACTTAGAAAATACACAAAGCAATAATGCACCTCAACGAGAGAAAAGATTCGTTTTTAAAATTTATTTTATAGGTAGCTTTGATATAGCTTTAGATAGACCCACTTACTACAGAGCTTGTGAAATCTAAACCTTCAAATCATAATACTCTTTATTTTAGGCCATTCTATCTAAAAGCATGACTTTACAAATCTTTTTATTACAAGTAGTTCTTGCACATAAATGTAACATCACAATAGCAAAACAAAAAAATGTAAACTTCTTTTGCAAACTACATAAATACTATATCTGCCTTGAAGTTATTCTTACTTTTAAAATCAGAATATACTCTAAACGCTTTACACAGAAAACTTTGGTCAGTAGCCTATGTGTTTGGAACATGTTTTTCTTACTGATTTGCCTTTCCTGTTGCCTACTTAGGTCTTTGAAGGAGAATACTTTTAAAAAGGACCCACATCAAAATTCAGTCCACAAGTAAGACAAGTACTGGAAGCATGCTGATCACCGTGGGCAAATATGAGAAAATTATTTCACATACTAATTCCGACAAGCCACCAGTTGTACGGAGGTAACCGAAAATGAGGACCCAAGTCGAGCGCATATTTGATCCTGTACGGAAGGAATTTAGCCTGCTTATCAGTATAGCTTTTACTCTGCTGTACATCTCTTTTCAAATGAATCATCTTTTTCTCTTCTTTAGAGCACAACAGGTCATCTCTACAGCTGTAATCGTAGACTAGAAAGCCATTGAACTTATTTCACCATCACTATCCTTGACATCTTTAAATACAAATTTGAAATGCATAAATATACACGTGCGTTTACACACACAAGCATGCCTAGAGGATCACATCAAGGCCTTTATTTATTTATTTATTTTTTTGCTTCAAGAGACGTTTTTTAACATATACCTGTAAAGTAAATCTTTTTCCTCAGGATGTTCCTTCAGTTAAAAATCAAGTTTTATCTGAAGCCCTTCTGATCTGTTATTCTGAGATTCCTATTGAACACCTAGCTACTGGCCATGGTTTCTTTGAGGAAAAAAAATATCTTTGCTGAAGCATTTTTAAAAATTTAAATGCATGCAGAAAGAACTACATATGCTTTCCAAGCAGCTACATAAAGTGGCTCAAGTAACATTATTATTTATTTTGGCCTAAGCCTTTTATCAACATCTTTTAAAACGCAAAGAGAATGGCTATAAGATGGCAGCAGAGCCCAGAATGTATGGCCAGGCCGGCGGTGCTCCAAGCAGTTCTCAGGACAGCAAGCAGGAATCCACTGTGCTGTCTTCCCTCTTTCTGTGCATTATCTCTAAATGCACTGTGTCCTCTCTTTATTGCCTGCGCTTTTAAACTATGTAGAACAATTCTTTTGTTTTTTAAATCTAGCAATGATTAATTCAGACCTCAAATAACACTGTGCATGGGCTTTGTTAGAGACAGGTCATCATTCTCAACAGCTTTTCCCAGTGGAGGCTGGGGTGGGCGGAGGGCATCTACAGCTTAGGAACTGCTCTTATTGCAGACTGTGTTTTGGCTGATACTATCCTCCGTGTACTGACTGCCAGTCTCACTCCTACTGAGGATGGTGGATAGGATGCGGGAGGGGCGCCTCTCCAGGTTCTTCTCCTGAGAGAAGCAGCAGATCATCTTCTTCATGGTGCTGTACATGTCCTCATCCTTGTAGGAGTAGATGACGGGGTTCATGAGAGAGTTGAGCAGTGCCAGCAGCAGGAACCACCTTTTCACATGCTGCAGGCCACACTGCGTGCAATTCAGGCCATCGAGCAGCAGAACCACCAGGCCTGGGGTCCAGCACACGACGAAGGCCCCTGGAGAGAGAGAAAAGCAAGCGACACGTACTCAGACCTCAGGTTCCCTGTTTAGGTTTCTTCTGGCCCAGCCTTCTGTCAGTGGCATAAAGACCTCAAGAATTTGTTTTGACAACTGCAAAGCAAACTTCTATCTTTCATTTGAGTGTTTTAAGATCTGGGCTTGTTACAGGCAAACAACTGAAAACCTTTTGACCATTAGCCACATTCTATTTCACTTTATTTGCTTACTTAGGTCTTGTATTAGGGTCCTGCATTTACCTGCTGCTTAATAAGCACTAAACACCTCATCTCTGTTGGTTCTCAGAACCACACTAGGAGGCTGCTGCAGTCATCATCCACATTTTGCAGATGAGAAAACTGAGGCCCAAATCCAGGGGCATATGTGGGCAGGCCTCACACACTTAACCATCAACTCTGCTGTTCTCTAAGTCAGATTTCCTAAATGCTTTCCTGAAAATAAGACGAATATTGTCTATGGCATTCTCCTTGTCTTTTAACTAAGTCAACTGCTTAAAGATTTTCTTCTTTATAAATCCATATTGGTGTTTGGTAAGCTCTAAGCTCTTTTTGACATATTCACAGGCCATCTGCTTAATAATCTGCTGTGGATTGAGATTTGTCATAAATAAATCTCTTTCATGATGAGATAAAGATGTGCTTTTTTTTAGCACATTCATTTATTTAGCACAATTTTAGCACCAATTGCACATGGAAGGTAGTGTCTCTGAGTCCCTAGCCATCTGATCATATTTAGCTTATCTCTAAACTTTCTGACATGTTTTTCTTAAAATATCTCCCTACTTAGTCATCATAACCTCAGATAACAGTGACTATACAGTACTTACTATGAGCTAGGCACCAGTGTAAATACTTCCCTTTACTAACTCATAGAACCACACAATTAGGTAAGCTTCATTAGCATCCCCAGGAAACTGAGGCACAAGAGAAGTTAAGTAACTTGCTCATGATCAAATAGCTTGCCAGGGACATCTAATTTTGAACCTAGGCAGTCTTTCACCATAGGCTGTACTCTTAATTACAATATGATCTGCCTCCATACTGTGATATGGTTGCTTTCTCCCAAAGTCCTTATCATTTCTAAACGTCCTTGTTTATCCATCCAATAAATATTCATTGTGAGCTTATGGTGTGCCAGGAGCTGTACCAGACAGTGAATGAGTGAAGACTGCACACTCCAGAAGCTAAAGTGCTAATGAAGGAGACAAAATAAACAAGCTACTCTGCAAACTACATCACCAACCAGTTATTCTTACTGGTTAGAATTAGTATTTCTCTTGTTGTTTTATCTTCTTTCTGAGAGGTATAATAATAAGCAAGTCAAATCAAGAATTATAAAGAGGCAGTGTGAGGCCATGAAACGCCATACTTAAGCTTTGGGGTCAGACATGTATTCCCAGCAATTCAAGGAGGAAAATCACCTCTCTGAGCCTTCATTCCCTCATTTATAAAATAAGGATAATAATCCAGGTGTGGGGTGGTTGTGAGGGTCAGAGGTAATGGATAGTGGTACCCAACACTAAGTTGGATTCATTATGTTGAAATGCTTTGTCAAAGACATCTGTCAAAAGTAGATATCTAGGAGGTATTAGGATAGTTTAATTTCCCGTTTCATAATTACAGCTTACTAACGGCTCCATTTCTTCTTCATCCTGTATTATTTTTTATCGGGCTGACATATATGAATAAAGAAGTGGACTTGGAGATAAGAGTTCAGAGATTTGGGTCCTAACTCTTCACTTACTGTACAAGTCTGGGAGACCTGTGTCATTGGTCTGGGCTTTGGCTTCCTAAGCTATAAACTGGGGACTGTAGGCTAATTCTAGGGTTTTGAAATTGTGGGCCTGGACTCCTTAGTGGGTGTAAAATCAATCTAATGGGTTTAGACAAGTTTTTTTTTTTTCCTTTAATGAAGGGATGGAATGGAAAGGCTTAGATCATACTACATTGACTAAGGGAAGTTTTATTTCATAAAACTTTTGTTTCAGTTTTACAAACTGTATTAATGTATGTATTGATTATAAAGTAAAACATTATTTCTTACTGTTGGGCTAAGTCAAAAAGTTTGAAAAATACTAGTTTAGATAATCTTTAAGACCTCATCCAACTCCAGTGGTTTGTATTTCCCATAAGTCACACTTTTGTTCTGTTTGTTATTGCCAAGAGAAGACTGCTATGTTGTCAAGAGGGAAGAAGTAAATGAACCAGACATCAAAGCTGTAGCTAGCAACTTTGATGTAAAGAGTCCTTTCTGTGTGAAGTTACATAATTCCAAAGAAATTCTGATCAAGGTCATTGTGTTAATGAGGTGGGAAAAATATTGATTAACTTTATACTTTGTTAAATACACATGTCAACATTTAATACAGTATGTAACTTTCAAACCAATGGGAGGGGAGGAATGGAACTAAAGGAAAGGGGAAAAAAAATGTTCTCAAATCAAAAGAAAGGAGGGGGGAATGAAACATAGAAAAGTGGAACAAATAAAATAAATGCTGGAAATGAGCCCAAATATACCAATAACCAAACTCAGTGGTAATTGTGGTATAGTTTTTAAAAAGCTGGTGAATCCAAACAGTTTGATACTTAACATTGCATCCATATGTGGTAAAACCATAAGGAAAACAGATCACACAAAACTTATGATATGGTTATTTCTTTAGGAGAGAGGGGGCCACTAGGATGGGACACGTAGGAGGTTGTAAAAACACTGGTAATGTTCTATTAAATTGGGTGACAAGTATACAACTATTTTTAAAAAAATTATTCTTTAAATGTTAATTCTTTAATCTGTACATATATCTTATATAATTTTATTTGATATATATTTCACACATATACAGATACACATCAAAAAAAAAGGATAAAAGTAAGTTGCCAATATGTTTTCCTAAAAAAAATGTTTTTTTAAATGGATTTTTTTTAATCGTGAAAGCTTTTACTCCAGCATAAAACTCTGGTTTGGATTAGTCAGGGGACTGAAACACTCTAAATAAATCTTCGAATTGATGTTCTATTCGTCATATGTGGTAATTCCTATAGATATTTTTCCTTTGTAATGAGTTAATAATTCATTCAATCAACATCTGACAAACTTTTCATTGAGTAATGATTATATGCCAGGCACTGTTCTAAGCATTTTATATAAATTAACCATTTAATCTTCATAGCAACACTTGGAAATAGGTACTAATACTACTCTCATTTTAAATTTGAAGAAACTGAAGCACAGAGAAGTTAGATAAAATGCTCAAAACCGTATAACAGGTAAGTGTAAGCACCAGGATTTGAACCCAGTAAACCTGGCACTAGAGTCTGTGCTCCTGTCCACATGCTAGGCTGCTCAGCAGTGGGATATAAAGAATCTTATTACTAAAGTGAGTGACGTGAAGAGGCACAGCTTTTAAAATCTTATTCATAGTATGTAATATCTGACCGTGAAGCTGCATATATCACAATTAAGTCATTCTTCGGTTTGCCAACAGAAAGATTTTTTTCTGGTGAAGGAAGGAAGAAAGGCTGGAAGGAAGGGAGGGAGGGAGAAAAGAAGGCAGAAAGGGAGGAAGGAAGGAAGGAAAAGAGGGAGAGAGGGAGGGAGAAAAAATTCCAACAAAAATATATGCTGGCCATGGGAGTAAGGAGAGAAACACACATTTGCCCACCTTTTCTTTATTCTGTTTCCAAGAACAACGAAAGCCAAGTCTTCTTTATCAGAACTGCCCCAATACAATAACTGCTACAGTAGAGAAAGGGTCTTTAGTGGTGCTGTCTGAGGTGATGATTACACTCCAGGCAGTAACCCCAGGAAACACCATGCATCCCATGACTCGTCCACCTGGCAGCAAAGCTCCCCTCCAGGCACATCTCTGAGTAGCTGCCCAGTTTATCTAACAGTTCATTCTTTTGGGGTTTTTACTGTATGTCAGCAGCTAGATATGAGGCCTCCAAATTTTTTTTTTTTAAGAAGAATATGTCAGGAATGGTTTGGCCTTGAGAAACTATAATCTTGGAGAATTCCCGGAGAATGTGTGAAATGTCAGAACCAAACAAGTGGGCAACTGGACTATTTCTTTAAAAGAGTAGTAGATGATGGATCTTGAGAAATACATAAAAGTCGGTCCCCCATTAATTTCCAATAAATTTTGGAAGAAAAACTAATATGAATATTTTGAGTATTTAGAGTCAATGCTCAGACCATGACAGCTGGGAAAAGTAGAGCTTTCAAAGAGAGCTCATGCCAAGCCCAAATCACATTGTTTTTTAAAGTGGGCATTAACAAATAGGAGTGGATCCAAGGTGTCTATCTGGGCACCAGTGAAAGAAATCAGGTATGTTTCTCTTTAAGAAGAAAAGCCTAAGGAAAGACATGATGTATCGTTAACTGTCTCCAAAACCTGAAGGGCCATATAGAAAGAGGAGGCACAGACTTATCCTGAGCCATTCCAAAAACAAATGGAAAAGTACGAGGAGGAAGAAATTGGATATAAGAGTTTTTTAAGTAAATGGAGTTATTTAGGAGAGAAATTGGTTGTTCAGCGGGCAGAGAGCCTCACAAGCAGAGTATTTCCTCTCCCTGAATCTTCCCGAGAATGTTCAAAGGGAAGAGATTTTCTTTAAAAATGTAGGGTAAAGTGTCTTCTGAACTCTTCTCCAAGTAGAAAATTGCTAAATTCTACAAAACTATAAGCTTCAACTCTCCATAAAATTCAAACCAATTGGACTTGATTGTTTTTCAGACACAACTGTAATACAGTATGGCTAAAAACTGATTAAGATCAATTCTCTGAGCTAGCAGTTCCCAAACCTGGCTGGCCATTCGAAGGACCAGGGGAGCTTTTTAATAATTCAGATTCCCTGGTCCCACATCAGACCAAAAGTCAGAATCTCCGGGGTGAGACATGGAAATTTGTAGGACTAAAAAGTTCCCTGGGTGATTACGATGCAGAGCCAGTTTTGTAAACCATTTCTCTATGCTGACT